ACTGACTCCACACACATACCATGGCACCTATGTGTGTCTCCCCTCCCCCAATAATAGTAAATAGAAATTTTAAGAAGAGTTGAGGAAGTTCAGGGGAAGGATCTTTTCCTGCTTAATAGGAGCAATGGTAAATTCATAGGCTCCATAGTGTTCAGTTAATCCATCTGTTCAACACATACGTCTTGAGTAGAACTACACACTTGATCTTGAGTTCACTAGTGTAGACGTCTTCCCAGTATAATGAAGGTCCAGGCCTTCATCCTACTCAGCATCAGTGGTTAAGGTCCACATAGCACCGGAAAAGAGAGATGCATTGGACTGTGATATATTTTGATATTGGATACTGTAAGTGTACCTCTCAGTGGACAGTACCTTTAACCAGGAATGATGGGCTGCGATGATACCACTATATTGTGATGGATAAGGTGAGTGAAGGGCACTTTTGGAAGATGGAAAACTGCACGAAGATCGCAGAAGATATAATGAGCACATTCAAGGAAATGTATGAATCCTAGTTCGGCAGTTGGATCCATTTTTGAAGGATGTCTGATAAGAGAAGGAAGTAGGAATGTCTCTGGGAGCCTTTGATGTCACATTAAATAGATTAGCCTTGACCGCTAGGTAATAAAGGAGCATGGTAAAGATTTTAAATGAGGAAATTGAATACTATTTTAGAGCATATCCACTGGTGCAGATGAGTCAAACCTAACATATGGGTGGATTTCTTTCTGGTCAGGGTCTTTTAGCTTGTTTTTGAAATTGTCAGTGGTTCACAGGAAACATGGATGTCGCAGACAGACAGTGTTGAAAATCAGTCACTTGGCCATTTTTCTGGGAACCTGTGGGCTAGAGTTTGTTAAAGCAGCAACACGGATGGACGGCAGAAACGTGCTCCATTTTCCCCAGGCTCACTTCCTTCAGGGCAAATGCCTGGCACGTGTGGGCATTTGAGGTTTGGGGCTAATTTTGGAACTTCCTCTTTGGCAATTGAAGGAATAACTATTTGAGGTTCAGAGCTGGAGTTTTTGCAGCCCACGTGGTAAAGTTAGACTTGGTTTTTAAGGAGTAGTGGGGGGAAAAGGATAGTAAGGTACTGAAGAGCACTAAACCAGAACGGATGAGGAGTCATAGCAAGAAAGCAGAGGTGGGGCAGTGTTTCATGAGGACCTCTTCTGAGGACAACTTCATTTTGGTGAGAGGCAGCGAAGGGCCCGACCTCATAGGAATTTTAAGTGAGGATTCAATGGGAACATATTTACAGAGCACTTAGCTCAGGGACTGGCGAACACTCTCCACAAAGGGGCTGTTGTGGAGGAGAGGGAAGAAGATGGAATTAAGGAGAACTGGAGAGTTTCCGGTGTGTTATTTGGTGAACTAGAGAACACCGGGAGGAGATGCAAATGTTGACACCAGTTTGGGATGTGTTAAGTGTGGAACACTTGAGAGACTTTGAAGTGATGTATGCCAGGGTGGGGTCTGGCAGGCACAGGCTGATTCTGGGTCCCCCACCACTGACTGATTCCTCATATCTTCCTTGGACCCTTCCAGCCAACTTGGCAATTGCCACAAATACCTAATAGAGGATCAGCTTTAAGTAGAAGAATGTGCCATAGGCACCATCATGTCACATTTGCTGAAATGCTTTCTACAAGTTTTCAGTTGTAAAGATGCCTTTCAGTTCACCCTGCGGATCACAGCAGAATGGATCTAATGATTCAGCATTTCTGTATCACAGATCATCTTTCTCTCCAGTTAGCCTTTTCTATTTTATTCACTCCATTTCTAATTATAGACAAATGTTTGGCCGAGAGTGAATGGTTCCTGGGAAGGATGAGCAGGGTTGCTTTTTGAGTTTGTACGCCTTCCTAACTGAGTCAAGCCCCCGTTCAAACGCCACACTGTCTTTTGTATGCCACCCTTGTGGTCACAACTGACCTCTGTCCTCGCTATGTTTTGTTATTGCACTTGCACGGAGCCTGGTTCATGCTACCCCATGCTATAGTGGTGGTTTGTGAACCAACATTGTTCTGCCGGGGTGTTTGCCCGTGAAGGTAAGCCTGTGTCTTAGACACCTTTATAACAAGTGTAACAATTCCTGCAGTGTGCCATCCAGTCGGTTCAGTACACTTCTAAATGTGTAAGGGATAGGAATTTCTATTTTATAGAAATCAAAAACTATGAAGGAGCCAGGCCTGGTGACACATGCACTTGATCCCAACACTTGGGATGCAGAAGTGGGTCTATGTAGCGAGTTCCAGTGCAGGCAGGGCTTGGTAGAGACTCTGTCTCAAAAAAAAAAAAAATATGAAGGAGATGTGATCTTAATAAACAAGTTATTATTTTTAGTAAGGATAGTTTACTGTGAAAATTAATTTCTTCACTCTGCCTCTCGTGACTTTATATTTCATTAACTCTCTCTTAAGGTTTAAAAAGGAAGTCAGTTTAAATGCTTTTAGGCCACTGCGCATAATCCATTGTTTCTTCACTGGTCTGGATAAGATCCTGACCCGGCTCTCCAGGTTGCCTTCTGTTAAAGGACTTGTTGTCGTTGCTGTTGTTGCAGTTGTATGGCCCCTTCAGGTTCAGACCCTTTCCTGCTTCCTGTGCCCGTCTGGCTCTTCTTATGCTGCTCTGAATCCCTTCCCCTGTCCACATGATAAATTTCAAGTCATCCTTTCAGCTTCAGCGCACAGTCCTGAAAGCAGGCCCTGGCATCTTTCTAACTCCCACATCCCTGCAAATTCTTCTGTGTTCTTTTAACACCTTGTATACCTGTCATGGCTGTCACCGTCAGAAGGCTGTTGTGTTTCAAAGGAACCTTTGTATATTTAAAGAACTCAAGGGCTGGGCGCTAGCTTTGTAACACTCTTGAGATACACGTATGTATATGTAAATATATGTATTTGTGATTTATAGTATACACAGTGGCTCAGGAAGGCTGTACTTAGTACAAGAGGCTAAAGCCAATTTTGGTGATAGTGAAGGTTCAATTGAGTAATGCAGCCTGTCTAGATGTGAGTCTAACAGACAAGGGGAGAATGGCATTCTCTGTGACAGCATGGGGGTTTTAGAGCGTGGCTTCCAGGGAACTGCACTTAACGGCATATGGTTGGAGATGAAGCTGGTGGTCTGGGAAGAATTCAATCAGAAGATTGGTTTGAATGCTATCCTAAGTGTTCGACCAAGGATGATTAGAAAGTCAAATGAACGGGAGTAGGAGGAGAACAGCACCCCGAAATCGTGGTTTAGGGAGGCCCATCTGATGGTGGTTTAGGCCTGGATTGAAATCCAATACTAGAGGGAGAAAGACCATGGCTTCCTCTCTTTTTTAACCAATTTTGTACTAATAGGCATTTCTATCAGAGAATTTGGGAACAACTAATATTTCCTTAAAAAGAAACCCAAAAGGCCAAATTCACAAATATCCCACATCATATTAGTCTAGACACAGCCATAATATCAATTTAATTTTTGAAATAATGAATGTGTAGCTTAATTCACTTATTAGTGAACCTTTTAAATGTTATTGAAGAAGGTAAAGATGGCTACATTTAAGTTTTTTTGGCTTTTATGATGACTCTTCAATAAGCTTGGAAATAGCGAGGATCAAATCTTCAACTAAAATAGGCATGATAAATTCAAGCTTCTTGAAATACTATAATGTGTTTCTTTATGACCTGATTAGTTGTTGCACTGTGCAATCTAATATCTTGTAAACATCCTCTTTGATTCTGTTAGCACTACTGTCTACAGCATTTTCTAACTTCCCTAAGTCCATATGACCAATCAGTGCTTCTTCTGTGTCCTTTGTTCTAAAGACATCTATGCTTGTTCCTATCTCTCCTTGTTGGACCACCTGTCACAGGATGAGTTATTGATCTCATTCATTTTTACATCTACATTTCTTTCTTTTTCTTATTAATTTTTTATTTATTTTACATACCAAACATAGTTTCCCCTTCCTCCTCTTCTCCCATTCCCTCCTCCCCCTCCTTCCTACCTCCTGGCCTCTATCCATTCCTCAGAAAGGGTAAGGCCTCCCATGGGAGTTAACAAAGTATGGCATATCAAGTTGAGGCAGGACCAGGCTCCTCCCTGCTGCATCAAGGCTGAACAACGCATCCCACCATAGGGAATAGGTTCCAAGGACAGATCCTGGTTCCACTACTAGGGGCCCCACAAACAGACCAAGGTACACAACTGTCATCCACATGCAGAGGGCCTAGGTTGGTCCCAGGAAGTCTCCCTAGCTGTTGGTCTAGAGTCCATGAGCTCCCAGGAGCTTGGATCAGCTATCTCTGTGGGTTTCCCCTTCACAGTCTTGACCCCCCCTCCCACCCTCCACCCCATCATATAATTCCTCCTCTCTCTCTTCAACCTGAGCCCCAGAGCTCAGCCCAGTGCTTGGCTGATATCCGCATTTCTTTTCTTTTCTTTTCTTTTTATTTTATTTTATTTATTTATTTTTTTTTTTTTTTTGGTTTTTCGAGACAGGGTTTCTCTGTATAGCTTTGCGCCTTTTCCTGGAACTCACTTGGTAGCCCAGGCTGGCCTCGAACTCACAGAAATCCGCCTGCCTCTGCCTCCCGAGTGCTGGGATTAAAGGCGTGCGCCACCACCGCCCAGCTATATCCGCATTTCTTAATGTGTATCCCAGAGAGGGGCTTTTCCTCTTTGCCATCCTCAGACCCCTATTTTAATAAATGCTTAGATTGCTATGGCTATTGTTCTATGTACTATAGAGTTCCATTGCAATCTGAGCCTTGTGAGTTTTCTATAAAGTAAAGGAAAAAAGACAATGTGGTGAATCTTTAGCTTCTCATCCATATTTGAGAGGAGAAGGTAGCTGGGTAATCTTTATAGGGCATTCATTTGCCCAGTGGTAGGTTTTGAACTCCGCCCAGCTACCTTATTCCAACATCTGTACTCTTAACCCCTATTCAGAAACTCATTGAAAAATGAGTAATGGCTCACAAAAAAAATCTATCTGCATATCCATGTTATTAAGCATTTCTCTCTTTATTTTTTATTTGATAAAGTTTAATCGATGGAAGAAAGAAAGGGGCCAGTGAATATCCATAAATTCCATCTGTTATTACTAACATTTTTTACAAATTCTTATCTTACTAACATTTTATACAAATTAGATGATCCAGAGTATGGCAAGTTGAGACTGCACATCCTGGTATCTTGTAGATACTGTCCTCACATTATTTCAATGGTGCTTATAATATCATGCTTTTCCAGTTATTTCATACATCTTACATGCTACCTGGCATCCTCTACAAAAAGACTCTAAGTCCTCTTCTGTTTTTAGACTCTCTTCAAACCCATGGATTCTATTGTTGTTCAGTTATTATCCATTGGCATCATTACTCTTCTTAATATTCACACCACCTCAAGTCTGGCCATGGGAACTCACCAATCCAATCCAATGCTTTGCATAGATCTCCAGCATTCATCCCAAGTCTGGCCAGTGGGATCTCACCAAGTCTATCCAAGTGCTTTGCATAGATCTCCAACATTCTCTAAGTACTTTTCTGCCTCTTGCCATGGAAAACATTGCAGCTTTCCTTTTGTGGCCATGTTTTTCCTCTTTGAAGAGAGATGTTTAGAAATAAAAACCCAAGCTGCAGTGTGCATTTGCTATAGATTGCCAACTTAACAAAAACGAAACAAAACACTTTATCTACTTTTCCTGATAAAGAGTCACAGTTTCTCATATGTTCGCAAAGTCTAATTTGACTTTATGTTAAATTCCACTCTGTCTTGATGAAAACAGGAGCAAAATTTCAAGTAAACTGAAAAGTGACAGCGGTGCTTAGGGGAAGATGTTTGAAGTGCAGAGGTAGCGTGCTTGATGATGATAGACAAAGGCTGGGCCAAGAAGCAAAGATGCCTATGCATCCACTTACAGTCCTTTGGGCTACCCTAGGAATAAAGGCAACTAGTGAGAGATGAAATAGTTACTTGAGAAGTTCATCTGAATTGAATGTTCCAGAGACAAAAATAAAGCAAGTTCTTCCCAGACAGTTCTTGGAAGGCATTGTTATTCATTTAACTTCATGCTCCAAATGGGTATCAATCTATTGATCCTGACTTTTTGACAATAGCTCATTGTTAGTTAAAATGTTGATTTTCATTACAGCTTTAGAATCTAGTGTTTATGAACACAACAAGCAATATAACAAAGAGAGTATTGTATTTTTAAGTATTCTAGCAGGTTCCTCTAGAGTCTTTGGAAGTTATAGACTTTCTTCAAAGCAACATTTCTTTAGAAATGTCACTTAAATGCCATTATGCACTTGACCACCATTCTCTACGGCCATTCCTTTCTGCTTAGCATTTTATTATAACCTCTCTTCTCTCTTTTCCAAATTACCTCAAGTGCTGGCCTTCCTCATCTTTCTTAATCCACCAGAGGAGTAGACTGAACATTGACCCCAACTAGGAAATTTTTACTGAAGTTGGTCAACTCACTTAACCTGTGCCAAGGCCCACTTCTTTCCTGCCTTATATGGATAGTACAGCAAGAAATTCAGCTACATGAAGTGTAGGTTAGTGTTTTTAGTTTAGTGTTCAAGAGAACATTTACTAGATATCCTTTTCAATGAGAATCAGAGGTACTTTACACTGCTTTTAATTACAGCAGGGTGTGAATGTTTTGGTTTTGTTGAATAATTGACACTACAGTACAGTGTTTGTGGCAAGCTGAGAGTTGTTTTCTCTGGAGATCTGGCATGGTGGGTTTTGTTCTGCCTGTTGATGGCTCAGGGCCCTTCCCAATAGTTCTTTCTTAAACTCTGCCTCCGTTGCTTCCAGGTTCTATTAATACGCAGTGAGGTATTTCATGTTGCTTTTAGCAACGTTTTCTCTTCCAAGGTCAACTGTGCTCTGAAAAGGATATTCTCTTCATATTTGCATCCCCCTCCCCCAAAATCTATCCAGATGGGCTCTGAGGAGTGGCTGGGAGTTATGGAAGCTCTGGAAAAAATCTCTTGGTTTCCCAGCTGTTCATTCTTCTGCTCAGCTCCTGAATGCCTTTTGTCACCTTGTTCCTACATCAGGTGACCTGGAGGAGAAGTCACTAAATGATAGCAAAGGTTGCAAATGACACCCCAGACTCCAAGGCCTTCTTACATGAGAAACTCCTTGTCAAGGACAGAGCTTAGGTGGGCTTTGTCCTCATCACTCTCCAGAACAGTTCTCACTGTGGCATCTCACCACTTCCTTGTTTCCAGACGTGGGCCCTTAACTTCCAGTGTGATTCGCTTACGTATGAAATATTATAAAGTTAATGTGTGAGATTCATTGTCCCCAAGCTTGGGATAACTTAGTATTTTTTTTTTTTTTGTCAGAATTAGATAGCCCTGTTGAGCTCTCAGAACCCCTGTTGCAACAGTTAGGATGATTCTGATTAAAATTGCAGTTAAACAGACAATTGGACTGGGTCCTCAAAGAGCTGTGTTTGCTTTGGCTGTGGAGACTTGGTTCGTTTTCTAGTCGAAACAGTGACTTAGCAGTTATTGTAAGTCCATAGACAGGGCACCGGAATGTTGGAGTTAGTTTTGAGTGTGATTTACCGGACTTCATTCTTGTAACTGGTTTTGGAGGGGGAAAACCTCTCAGGTCCCTGATCCTATGTGACTTTTCTTTGCTGAGCTTAAACTATAAGGGTGGAGGGACATTGCACCATCAGGTATGGTCCATTTCTCTTGTTCTTGGTCCACATGGAGATCAGAGATGCCATGTTGCCCTCTCTGATTACCTGTCATATCTACAGGCACAGTATGTTAATTCCAGGATCTCCCTTGGGTGGTTTAGAAGACTGATACTAAATGAAAACAGATCATCTATCCTTTCTCTTTTTCAGTCAGGTGGATGGCTCAATTCACAGAATAATTCGGATTATGCATGTGATTTTTGCTGACCCCTGAAAGCCACATTACAGTGGAGTTAGTTATTACTGGTCAGGCCAGTTCACACAAAAGTGGGGATTCAATTCCATATAGTTTTTTTTTTTTTTTTTTAATAGCCATGTGCTTTCTGGTTACCTGTATGTATAAATGAAGCTATTTGTATACCTGCATGAATATTTGATATTGTACTAGACGTTAATAATAGGACTTCCAACTGTATTTCCAAAAAGCAAAACAAAATACCTTTGTCTGTCTTGATAAGAACAGGTTAAGTTCCTCCACAGCCTAGTTAGTGTTCAAGACTAGTCAGGGGTTGTTTGGCTGGGTGCAACAGAAACACAGGGAGGGGGCTAGTGTTAGGGGTCTTTGCTCTACCTTTCTTTCCATTCTCAAGACCACTGGTCACAGAAGAGCTGAAGTTCTCCATTCGCAGCAAGAACACAGACCAGGGCATATCTGACAGGTCCCCTAAGTAGCATCCCAACCACTCCTCTCAATTACTTCTGTGTCTATATAAACTAGTCAGAATTCAGTCCTTTCTTTACTCCTGCCATGAAGGATAAGAAATGTCATCTTTCATTGTAAACTTACCCTACGCTATGAAACAAAACCCAAAAAGACATTCTGTATGAAGATGGAAATGGAAAGGTAGGAATCCAAAGAGTCCCACCGGCATGTTAGGATCTATCTTAGGCCTCCTTTGATCTCATCTGCTGTTATAAGCACTTCGCAGGCTAGTGCTTCCCACTCAGTGAGAACCCCCTCACTGCCTCCCCCCGCACCTGATCATATTCCAAGGTCTTTGTGGTCTCCGCTGGCCCTTCCTTTTAACAGTTGCTCTCCAGGATTGTAGTTCAGACTTGAGGCTCTGTGGTTATTGTCATTATCCACACTCCTCCCCCTTCTTCAGGTCTCTTCTTGGCTCCTGTCGTGGCTTAGAAAAATTAGCCACATGGTTAATTTAATATCCTCTATCACTCCCCCATCTATTCATACTTGTATAGTATAATACATTGAACATAATAAATGTTTGATATATATTTACTGACCTCTATTCTAGACCTAAAACCAAGATCATGGGGGAAAAGTCCTTTCATGAAAAATTGTGTAAAGAGTTAATTTTCTGTGATGAAAATAATTAATTGTATCAGCTCTATGTGTATTCTTTTAATAGCTTTTTTAAAAAAATACACTTTTAGTAGCTGCTGGGTAATCTGTAATTGCCGCTGACTTCAGGTAGAAATGCAGCCAGCAGTTTTCTTTAAAATACTGAGTCCCCAGACTTAGCAGAACCATTAACAGTCCTGACCTCGTGGAATGTACACATTAGATGCACCTGAGATTAGGGCATCCTCCTGAGAACAAATAAAAAGGAGAGCAGATGGAAGAGCCCTTTGTGAGTAGAAAGCACCTGAAAGCCGTGAGTGGATGGCCAGCAGCTGGTCAGAGGTCAAAGGCAATACAACCTGGAAGCTGCAGGCTTGTACCAGAAAGTGTCCTCCTCTAAATGAACCTCAGATTTTCAGTGCTATGTTTTAATGCTACCTTTTCATATTTTCACACAGATTTTCAAATTCCGGTTGCTCTAGGGAGTTATCACTTTGACTCACATGTGACATATATGTAATGTTACTTTTTAAAGAAAAATAACATTCTGGGTACCTCAGAAGGCTTATTTAGGTTACATTACTATATAAAAATGTTACAATCGATGGAATAACTCTCTTTAAGTTTTTAGTATTTATTTACTTATGTACATGTGTGCCTGCACATGTGCCGTGGAGCGTGTGGAGGTCAGAGGTCAGTTTGTGGGCGTTGGTGGTTCTCTCCTTCTACCATGTAGGTCCTTGAGGTCAAACTCAGGTCATCAGACTTGGTGGCAGGCACCCTTACCTGCTGAGCCATTTTACAAGCCCTGGAATATTTCCTTTTCAAAATGATTTTTTTTCAAATTCACATTTCCTGATGATGAGGCCTGGATATTACAGAGAACCATGTTTGGAGGACTTCCTTTACAAAACTCCATCCAGTATAAAACTATTTACCATTCACTGAGTAATGCTGGAAGGCTTTCTAGGAAGTTCATTACTTCTCAGAGAAATGAACACAGTTCTTTCCCTTTGAATGTATGCAGTGTCTGAAATCAGAGTTTAAGAAGTCTCCAACTACTTTCCTCTGCATTTTGCCCATCCTCTTTCTGTAGGCTTTGAATCCACACTAAGGATTAGTCGTCAGCAGCCCTGATTGGCATAATACTAGGCTGGCAGTAACATAGACAAGTAGGCCTGGGGACTATCAGATGAGGTTGAGTGAGGGAATGTAGAAAGCAAGCATATGCTGATTTGCAGGAGTCTCAGAGGGAATGTCTGAGAGTTATCACAGGAAACTGGAAGCACATCCCAGAATGGAGCAGAGCATGGGCTGGTATGAAAAGGAACAAGTATCTAAGCCTTCAGAAGGCAGGGGCATGGTTGACTCTGTTGTCCTAGATCAAGTCCTCTCTGCTTTTCATTTGGTGGTTACCAAAGCTCCCCTCTTCCTGTCATGAGTGCTAATCATGGTTGACTAGTTCTAACCTGAACTTTAATTTCTCTGATCCAATTGCTCCCTTTACCTCTGAATCATTTCCAGTTGATTCCACCTACCATTGCCACATCAGTATACTCACAGCTTTAATATTTATGGAGTAATTCTCCTGGTCAGAAACTTCCCATTTCCTACAGACAAAGTAACATTCCTCAGTTTGAAAGTTTAGGAACACCATCATCTCATAACAGTTATGAATAATGGCTTCCTATTCTTTCATGAGCTACCCAGGCCTCCCGAGTGACCTCTTACTAACCTGTGGTCACCTTGGCTACATGTTTTTCTTCGCCATGGAGGACCTTCTTCCTTCTCTGTTCCCATGTTTCAAGATCCAGCACATATGTTTTTAGTAAGCTTTCTATTCAAGCCCATATTTGCTAACCATTATACTCATATATAGTTATTCTTTTTCATTGAAAACATGTGTAATGGTGCTGGAGTGATGATGTCTCAGTGTTTTGAGTGTGGACTACTCTCACAGAGGACCCAACTTTTGTTCACAACACCCATGTTAGGTGGTTCAAAACAGCCTATAAATCCAGCTCTGATAGATGTGATGTCCTCCCCTGGACTCTTCAGATACCCGCATTCACATATGACTATACTTACACAGACACACACACACACAGACTTAAACATAAAATAAATCCAAAAAAGGAACATGAAAAAGTTTTGTCTCTTTAAATAGATTGTGAGATCCTTGAAGTCAGAAATCATGCTGACTGATGTTTTTCACCTATTATAATATTGGCCGTCATGAACATATTTGGTTCAGTAGGACAGTGTTTCTGAGCCTTGGCTCTATGACATTCTGGTGTCATTTTGGATGTCTGAACATTGCAGGATATCCTCTATGCCCTATATGCCAACAAAACTCAAAATATCTCCAAACATTGCCAGATGTCTCAAGTATGCAAAGGATACCCATGAAAAACCATTGACATAAGACAAGCGGGGTAAACTTGTTTGTTTATCCGATTTGTTATCCAAATTGAGAAAAGACTTGAGTTCCTGAGAGAAGTGGAGGTGGTTGTTAGAGAAGAATAAGGTTAAACTGGAAACTTTCAATCTAGCTGAGATACAGGAAGCTACTATAAATTGAAGAGAAACTTTAATGTATGCCAAGGTTAAGAAAGATCAAGACAATGAAAATATCTGTGAATACTTCACAGTGTTGAAGAACTTCATTTTAGCTTGTTTCATTTTTAATCATCTTATTCTTAGACTATCATTGCCCATGAAATAAATATTTTATTGCTTAATAAGAAATTTATGTCTTTTTGGTTTTTTGACCATATTGTTGATCAAACACAGGTTCTCCCACATTCTAGGAAAGTGCTTTTCCACCAAGTCACATCCCAGCCTGGAAAGCTATACTGATTTCTTATAAACCCAGTAAATTCAGACTAAATTTTGTTAATGTGTATTTGAGAGAATAAGTTTTGAAATTGTGTATAAACATTTTTGTAAAGTTATATGTTACCTTTATTAATTATTTGAGTAGTATGCTCAGTTGACAATATTTTTCAGTCCCAAGTGATACATGCAAACATATTTACATATATGATAAATGCATGTGTCTCAGTTTGGGTTTCTATTGCTGTGAAAAGACACTGTGACCACACCAAATCTCATAAAGGAAAACATGTAACTGGGGCTGACTTACAGTTCAGAAGTTTAGTTCATTATCATCATGACAGAAAACATGGCAGCATGCAGGCAGACATTGTAGCTAGAGTTTTCCTGCCTTGCCCATAGTCAGGACAAATCTTTGTCACCTGCCAGTCCCACAGCCGCTCAGACCCAACCCAGTAAACACAGAGACTTATATTACTTACAAACTGTATGGCCGTGGCAGGCTTCTTACTAACTGTTCTTAAATTAATCCATTTCCATAAATCTATACCTTGCCACGTGGCTGGTGGCTTACCGGTGTCTTCACATGCTGCTGGTCATGGCGGCAGCTGGCAGTGTCTCTCTGCCTCAGCCTTCCGCTTCCCAGAATTCTCCTCTCTCCTTGTCCCACCTACTTCCTGCCTGGCCACTGGCCAATCAG